TATTAATTTGTACCACGAAACGTGATAAATACATATTATTTACAAGTGTATTGAGATAAAAAATAATTGCGGATTTTGATTGGGATTTTTTATATTGCTTTGAACACAAAACAAAGTAACCAGACCAGGCAGCGTCAGCCAGCTCGTCTTAATCAAAAATAGTAAAAATTAGATTTACATTCTCTAAAATTATGGTTACATTTTTATGTAGGTACATCGGAAGTTAAAGTATAGTTTCATGTAAAATAAAGAATAGTTAACCTTTTGGTATATAAACCAGATGAATATACCTTCACAATACTTATAAACTAAATATTTGTTTAAATAACACGCAACACAATGAAAATACAGTCGACTCTCGATAATTTGAAACTCAAGGGACCAGAGATATTCAAATTATCAAGAGTTCAAAATAACAAGTGAAAGAGAAATTAGAATTTGATCAACATTTGTTTCTTACTATTTCTATATTCTTATTATGTATTAACAATTATTATAACAATTATTCACAAATTTTTATTTCGAAAAGAAGTCTGTAATCTTTTTTTGAGTGAGTGACTTCAGTTTATCATTGTCCAAAGAATTTTGGATAGAGCTGCAAAGTAATCGTCACTTGTCACCCATTTATGTAAACAATTGACAAGTCTGTGCATGTACGTAAACAAACGACAGGTATGTACATGATAAACGCTTCAAATTATAGAGAGTAGGGAAGACCGGATTTCAAATTATCGCATGTTGGCGAGCAAGTTAATACTTTTTCAACTTCAAATTACCAAAGGGACCAATTATCATTGATTTTATTCAATTTATCGAGTATTTTTCAAGGGACCGGAATTTTATTTCAAATTATCGAGAGATTCTAATTAACGAGTGTCAAATCATCGAGAGTCGACTGTACTAATAAAATTTAACAGAATTAAAAATAATAAAAAAACTGGCTAATATCGGCCCTGCTAGACATAACATCTATCAAGACTTGCCCTACTGGTATACATATATAATATATATTTTAATTATTTATGTAGTGAAAGAGTAGTTTTTAAAGATTTTATTTGAGTTACGATATATCAATATTTAAAACTGAAAATTAAAGAATTTAGTAAAAAAAAAACAAAATAAAAATGTGCATAAGAAAATAAAGTTTATTTATTAGTCCGAAAATATAACTTTAATCTATACATATTACAATATGTACGAAGTGTACAAATGTATAGACAAAGCTATACTAAAATTAAGATTCCTAAATAAAATTTAGCCAATATTATTATATATTAATAGTCACAAGTAAAAACAACCTTTATTCAACGATACTTTACAAAATTGACAATGTTTATCACCGTTAGAATTTTTTTTAGATCTAGTTAGGAATTTATCCTACTACAGAAAAGATGCTTGTCGATACCCTTTCGATATCCTTATTCTAAATTCCAGCTAGTGTTTGGAATGTACAGTAATTCTAAACAGCAATTCGTATAGTTTCACAGAAAACCGATATTTACTCAACACTCATGACAAAACTAAGGTTTAAAAAAATACTGTACCTATTGGTAGCCAAATAATAACGAGAAACAAATCCGGTATTTAATACACTATGTTATTTTAAGATTTATTAGTCTAAAAATAATTACAAGAATGAAGAGGGTCATTCTAGGTGACCTATGACTTAACTGTTAACTGGCATCTATAAGTGTGTGTATCCATATAGATTGAAGAGCCACATTTCATATTTAACCTTGCATTTAGTATTATTATATTTATATTACATATTAGATATAAAAAAACTTTTAATGTTCTGTTGTCAAACGCCAACTAAATAATAATATCATTTCATGGAATGATTTTAGGCAGGGGTAATTAGAAGATACATTGCGTTTTAGCTTCTTACTCCGTCACGATGCTTTTATTTACAGACACATATTACTGAAACAGCTTCTGAACATAGTTTCTGAATATTTTAGCAATTCAAAAATAGAACAACTAACTTGCAGATTGGTGTCCTGTCCTGTTTAATGTGGATTATACGTAAAGCACGTAACGTTACACAGACAATATTACGATAGAGAGAGAGTACCTATAATTTATTATATATTAGTAATATCCATAAACCAAGAAAATAAATGTACTATGTTCTAAGCTATTGTATAAAAAGTCACACATCACCATGTTGCACCAATCACCCCACGATTAAACGCGTGTTTTAATAAACTGGGTTAAAACAAAATTTAACCAGATTATATTAATGTTTGTATAATAAAAATTGTAGGAATGTTGTGAGAAAATTTTTTGAATGAGTTTTCCCGGTTTTTCATTGTAAACACGAGTTGGTGTTTGCTTTATTGAATTTGATACAAGGTATCGAAACAAACTACACAAGAAAACAAATAATTACAGTATATAATGACTAATGTGTTAGTAGAAGACCTTAAAAGGTTTTTTCTAAACTTATACCTAAATAAAAGCGGTAAATTATAGCTATGCAAGCAGGACTCTCGGTACAATACTAATGTAGACCTACCAATGTTATCGACCATGACGACTCAGGAAAGAGTGAAACGACTAGGAATAAGTTTCTAAGTGTATTATTCTTGAGATCAAGGTCCAATATTAAAGTTTTGCGATTTCTTGATAATTGAATCACCACTAGATTTATTGAGAAATTTCTTCGCAATAAATAGTTGGCATTGCGAAGAATTGGATTTGTTTAATATATCAATGGATTTGTTGAACCTATCTTTAGACACATATGTCTTAAAGTGTTAGCCTTAATTAGATATATGAAATTTAAAATCTAAATATTAGGTGTCACTATAATGGAATGGTTGTTCGTTCAAAATGTCAACAAACCAGCTTTTGAAATGATAGTCCAGTTGAAACAATAGATCATTGAATTTATAAAGACGATTCTGTATCAGTATTTTTAAACAGGAAAACTATCGGTTTTTAATAAGTGGAATTAATATCTAATATTTATTCGTAAAGTATATAGATGAAATGTATTATTCTAGACGGAATTTTCTTTTGTTATTTGGAATATGTATATTGATAAATTTCACCGTGATAAAAATTCAAGGAAAGTTTTATACCGTTTTTATTTTATAGTTTCTTAATCGAAAATAGATAACTAATTACTCATGATTTTTATTTACATTTTAAAATTTTTTACTTCAAGTATCAATGTGTAATTTCCTAATTTTTTTTGGAGGAATTTATCTTTTACTTACGCGTAAAAAAGTCAAAATCATATAGGAAACACACTATGTATATATATACACTTATGGACGTCAAATAAGAAGAAACGTATATGAAATGCTTCGGAACTTTACATTTAGTGCCAGTTCCCAAATCAAGGGCGTAGAACGGAAGAGAGGAACTGGCAATAAACTCTCCGCCACTCTTTTTTTAATCGCCATGTTTTTTTCATACAACGTTTGTAAGGAGCAGCAACCATTACACCATGTTCCACATGACATCTTAAGTAATTAATCATAATAACATAACTTAAAAACAAAGACTTGTCCTCTAACGCTCTTACATTCTCGTGGCAACAACACGCAAACACATAGTCGAAATAACAAACATCACCGCATACACGAATTCAAGTACGACCAGTCACCACAAGTAGCACCCGTTCACGAGTATGACGCATGGCCAGCCATCGGCCCCCTCGCCATATTTTAGTTTGACTAAATAAACAAAACATTACATAAGTTTAACGGATTGTGAAAATTCATGACAAAAAAGGCAAATACTAAAGTTTAGACTTAGATCTACTAAAGGTTACGTATTATCAATCGTGTTAAGCGTATACATTAAAACAAAGACACTATCTAATCGCATAAAAACTTAAAATAATTAAGCTTCGTTATGCACCCCGCATTTAAGAATTAGACAAAGGTTTTTATTTTTTGTTATTATCTTGTCTTCAATAATATGTTATTGGTGATACTTACAATTGATAGATTATTTTTTAATTAAAATGTATATCTAAATAAGACCTTAAATTACCTTATTCCTTAAAAAGATAACTACGGTCAAATTTTTTTATCGACAGTAATGTTCAAAGAGTTTTTACTTTATTTTTGTTGAGAATGGATCACGTAAACACGAAACTATTTATTTCTTAGTTTTCGCCGGTAAGACTTGCGATCAAATTAGTTGTCTAGTTCTATAAAAAACTGTTTTAAGAATATGTAAAAAGAAATTTGAACTCGGTCTGTTACAATATTCACTTTTAATCCGTTTTTTGTAACATTTGTCAAATCTTAGCAAACTAGCAAAGTCATTCAGAAAAATATTATATATTCTAAACCAATAATGAACTATTCATGCAATAAATAATACCAAAGTTATTTTTAACCGAACACACTATCATGACGTACACGAACAAGCTAATAATAATAAGCTTTATTAAGATTATTATTTATTATAATATTTGTGGTTAATGTTAGATTATAAGTAGTATTTTTTGTTATAACAAACATAATTGTGTGCCCTTTTTAGCTAGTAAGTTCTTAGTTCCACCTTTTCGTCGGTCTGGTCACGCCTTGTTCCGTCTTTTCACAAACACAGCAACTCAGCTATATTATCAGAGGACAGTGTAAATAACACGATTAATTTCAACCTTCATAAAATCATTAGGATAGGCTTTGAACCTATCATTAGGCAGAAGGTATCGAGACCGCTATTTAATGAGATTAATCACCTAATATGCCTCCACAAAACGTAAGAGAGAGTGTTTGAATCGTTGCCTGTACTTAAATCAGCTGCGTGCCTTCCAAGTACATTTTGTTTTGTCAGTTCAAACTCACGACCACAGCGAAATCAATAAACAAGTATCTGTGATAAAGAAGTCTGTTAGTCTCGCATCAAATCTGTTTATATCATAAGTAAAAATGTATATTCCATATATATTATACAAATCAGCACACTTATGTCATAATTGAAATGAAGGTTTTATTGTCAACAGCGCTGAGGAGAACGCAAACAACACCTGCGCAATGGCTGCCACAGCGGCAGCGCCGGCTGCTTGGCGGGGAACCAACGATAGCGCGACAACAGAGTTCTGCCGTCGAGGCAACACGCCCGCCACGTATGGCAGGTACCACCAGCGAAACAATGCACCATATGCCACGCCACCCTCTAATACCGAAAGGTTTGCATGTTGCACTTTATAAGACCAACACAAGCTCGATTTCAACGTTCTTTAAAAATATTTTATCGAGGTAAGGTACAGAGAATCCGCCTTTAAATACAGTAAAAAGCTAAGAGACTTCCTATATAAATTCAAAAGTTTTAGGTTTGGCAGCTGGCGTACTTGAACTTCGTAGAAGTATGGTTGGCTTTTGTGACTTTTCATTTAATGTAGCGAATAAACCTGTCTCCAAAACCCACATAATTCCTTAACTTTGTATCATTTTATATTCTGCAATTTGCATGATATTATTCGTGTGTAACTACAGTCAGTTCATTATGCTTTATGTGTGCATTTGTGTTGTAATTAACTATGTGTTTTTACTATATAATTTATTTTAGATTAAATGTGTGATTGTTTAACGTCCCCATAAAACTTACGAGTTTTCATAAAAATAAAACGATATCTATGTCTCTATCGATTGAGTAATATATAAACTATTCCGGCATAGAAAGCTTATAAAGAGCCTTATATAATGAGATGGGTGGGTGTTCCATGTTTGGGATTTCTTTCATTTTAATCAAACTAACAATTTTTGTACATTGCACTGTACATATACAATTTATACACTTCAGATGTGGAATTCCAAGCTATCTAGTAAAAACTCTTAAGCTTGGTTAAATCACTTAGTAAACCTTTATATAATATTAAGACTTTTTCCACGGAGCTGGTTTTATACTTTGAGATTCTTGACTCTAGAAAATATATCCCGATTTTTTGTTCCGTTGCTATACAGCGTTAACAATCACGCCTAAAAACGAATCTGGTATTGTATACCATTTTGATATGAACTAATTTAATTTCAGAACAACACCCCTCCACCGGTGGTACGGCGCGACGGGCGGAGAAAGCACGCCGAGTACGCCGGGTGGCGGGCCCGAGCGGCGTCGGCGGGCTTCGGGCTCGGGTTCGTCTCGCTCCGAGTCCTCGTCTCCTGAGCCCAGTGACACGTCTCGCGGGTCTACGCCGCCTCCGCCTGCTCACCACGCCCACAACAACCATCGGACCCCGTCCACGCATCCACACCAGGTTTGTTATTGCCTAACTACTTATTATAAATAACACACAAAATTATGACACATGGTTAAATTGTTTTATCATGATCTCAAACTTTAAATATGTTTACAGAAACAAACAAACAATTAAGTAAAAGAAAATATATACATATCTTAATATATATATATATATATATAAATTACGTGTCACTTTGTTTGTCCGCTATGCACTCCTAAACTACCGAACCGATATCAATCAAATTTGCACACCGTGTGCAGTTTGATCTAACTTTAAAGATAGGATATCTTACATCTCAATTTATACCCGCAATATTATTTTATTGCAAAATATTTGTTTATTATTTGATAGTCACAATTCTAACAGATGGGCGCTGTGTTGAAAGTACCAACGTTTTACATAAGCTACAATTGAATGGCATAACCACCAAAAAAGCATGGTGGTCCCCATGACTGGTGTTCTCCTATCGTTTCCATTGAATAGTTTGCTACTATAACATAACAAAAACCTTAGCCACATCAACGCTTGGCCGGTCTGCTAGTTTCATATGAGTATTCCAAGTGCGAAATTGTATTAATAAAAATATGCCTACTCTATTCACAGCAACTAAACAGATTTGCAGCTAACATGTGGTTTTCCTTGTTCCATAATTAAATTACAATTTATTTCTTATCTTGCAGCTGCTTTACATATTATATTGATTTCCTTATTACGTGCGCTTTTACTATGCCTGTACGTTATTTTATTTATAAAATAATCAAAATTCTGTGTTATAATTCTTAACAATTTACAGTGGGCATCGACAGCTAACGGAAGACCTCTTGCAATATGCGTTAGAAATCTACCGACGAGGTCGACCGATAGTTCCCTCAAAGACGGCCTTTACCACGAATACAAGAAGCATGGTAAAGTGGTGTGGGTGAAGGTGGTCGGTCAGAACGCCGATCGCTATGCGGTGGTCCGATTCAAAAAACCGTCCGACGTAGAAAAGGCACTCGAAGTGTCACAAGATAAACTTTTTTTTGGTTGCAAGATCTCTGTGGCCCCTCACCAAAGTTGCGATGATGACGCCGAGTCGGCGAAACCCTACGAGACTGATATTGATGAATACCACCCCAAGGTGAACCATTCAAAACTCTTGTATATATATATATATTGTATACACTAGGGATTATAATGTTACATACATAGAACCAAATATTTTATAAATGTTAGCATATTTTGTCTTTTATTAGTATATTTATTTTTCAAATCATTATTTTTAAGATAAGTAATTAAAATGCAATATATAATCATACTATGTTATTAGCAAAACAAACACGGTTTGAAGGAGCTGTGTGTAAATAAAGCTTAAAGGAAGTTGTATATAAAGTGTAAATAATTAGCTTCTGGTTGACTTGTTATTAACATAATATATATTTATGATAATATTTATTTCAGGCGACGCGAACGTTATTCATCGGAAACCTAGAGAAGGATGTAACCCAACAGCAGTTGCGAGACAAGTTCAAGCACTTCGGCCGCATCATAGAGATCGACATCAAGAAGGGCAGTGGCGGAGGGGCCGGCTATGCCTTCTGCCAATATGCGTCTATATCGAGTGTGGTCGAAGCTATTAGGGCCATGGACGGCGAGTACGTGGGCAGTTCCAGGGTCAAACTCGGCTTTGGGAAACCTGTCGCCACTACTTGCGTTTGGGTCGACGGGCTCACGGAACACACGGAGAAGCAGGTAATTGATTATAAAGAGATACTCCCTAGTCATTATATTAGTATCGAAATATTTAATGTTGTGTACCTAGAACTTACACAATATAGTAATTTTCATTATCTTATATATAAAATTCTCGTGTCACAATGTTAGTTACCATACTCCTCCGAAACGGCTTGACCGATTTTATTCAAATTTTCTGAGAATTGGCTACTATCTTTCAACCCCCTAAGTGATAAGGAGTGTCCACCCCAAATTTTTGTGTTTGTTTTTCCTTTTTTATGATACAGCATACAAAAATAGATACGACCCCTAATTTTCACCCCTCTACAATCAACCCTTATTTTTTATTATTGTATATAGTTATTTTTATTGAACTAAAATAATATTTCCTAGTAATAATATACATGACAAAACAATTGTTTGCCGGGTCAGCTAGTAATTTATAATATATCTTATTCATTTCGTCATCAAAATTAACGCACTTAAAGGCGGTTAAATATAAAAACACAACTCTTAACAATGTGCCTTGTAGGTCTTAGCGGCAGTATCCCGATGCGGCGCTGCCACCTCTGTCTGCGTGGATCGAGCAGCGGGCGCAGCGCTGGTTCACTTCGAGCAGGCGGCCGCCGCAGGAGCAGCTGTGAGGGAGCTGAGACGCCTGGCCGCGCATTTGTCGGCTGCTGAGCCTGACCAGCCGAGACTTTGCGTGGACTATGCGTCGAGGGAGTGCCAGGTAAATTGTCAATCGAATTTTTCACGGAGGGGTTTTTATCTATCTGTACCTCTAACGTCCGAACCCAATAATCAATCCACAATCTCAGATTAAAAACAATCTGAGATCAGACGTGATCGTTCTCCTATCTGCATCCCAATAACCAAACCCTACGAAGACAATCCATTTTCGGCGACGGATAAAATGCTCTTTGTCGTTCCATTTTACCGAGTTTTCATTCATATTTGATAATAATCAATGTAAACCAAATAAAATAAATAAAACCATACAAATAACATTATAGTATACATGTGTATTTTTAAATCATAAACAGTTTTTTTAATTATTTGAAAATCTGGTGAAAGTTAAGATAATTAACTGTTGAAATCGAGCTTTCGTCAACTGTCATTTTCATACAAAGGTCTATCCACAGTCAAATGGCTATTACAATCCGTCGAATGGTTATTGGCACACTTGTTACAACATTTGGTCAACTATCTCAGATGGTGGATTATGGATTGAGATAGGTTATTGGGTTTGGGCGTAAGACTCGCTTTAAGGCAGGGCTTAAGGTTGGGAAAAGAAAGCATAGAGTGGAAGAGTGTAGAAAAGGCCCTTTGTAACGGATTGAAGTTGGTTTTTTATTTATTGTGACAGGATAACTCTATGTAACTGTACCGGTATTTTTATTAGTTATGTTTTTTAATTGTCTTACGGTGAAGGAAAACATTTTATATTCCGATACATTTACATATGATAGCATGTACTTTACGATACAATATTTAAGTTTCTCATTTAAATATTTGAAAATATTTGTTCTGTTTAGGATGCATTTTATGAACAACTTGAAAAGCATGGAGGTTCATCATCCCTGACCAGCTCTGAGCGCCTGGGTACTGACTTATCGGGAAGATACGTGCCTACCGCCAGGCACGATCAACTCAGGTATGGAATTCTAGATAAGCAATCTTTTATCGATAATTAAACTTATGTATAAATATTCTGTAAACCTTTTTGTGTTGACGTTTTATATAAAACTAACTAATCTAAAGCTAATGTAGGAGTTTCGTAATTTTAACGTTTGCCCTTAGAAATTAGATCTACAACTTAAGGAGCGTTCAAGTATTACTTCCCGCAATTTTTGGAGATTATTGACCCCCCATGTAACGCGCCGTAACGTTTTTCTGTGCCCAAGTATAGTAAAACGTTTCTATGTGGTGTAAAGTACTGGAAAGTCGAAAATAATATTAACAATAACGCGTAATTCAATCCCCGCTCCGTAACGATTTACAAAAGGACTTCCCCCCTCCCCCAAATTCGTTACGTAATACTTGAACGCTCGCTTAAAACAAGTTTTTGATTAGCTTTATCTGAAATTCAATATTCATAAAGTATTTGTATTTAGGTACGAAAGTGGTACATCACGATCTCGCGCTCCTAGCTTTGGTCGAAGCTCTTCCAGAACACCTCGGTACAACCACGACCATTACGATCCGACCGACTACGCAGCTGATAGACGATACAGGTATTCATAGACATTTCTTTGGTTTACGCATACGAACTTCTGTGTATCAAAATTTTATATTTGGTCATGAAGTGAAATGTATATTCTTTAATTTTCACTGAGATAAAATATGCATCTATAAAAACCTTTGCTTGTAGGGTACACGAGGAATTAGGGTCGAGTCCGCCTACCGATGAAGCTCCCTACGAAGATCGACTGCAGTCTGTGGTTGTGTCGCCCCATCGTGCTCACAAACATCGTCATGATTCAAGTCCAGAAGATAGAAAGCATTCTAAAGTAAGTCCATAAAATAGTAAAATTTATAATTTCAGCACAACTTTTTTAGCAGTTTCGTTTTAATAACAACAGCCTATTCATTGAATATTTATTTATTTATTAAATTTATTTCAGGAAAGACATCGTAGCGTCGGTGGCAGTTCAAGAAGATCTCGTTCGGGGTCGCGCGGTGAAAGGCATATTTCTCGCCGAAGACATCGTATTAAACGGCGCGACGGTTCGGGATCTCGCGGTTCTCGCACATCGCGGGCTGGTACTCCACTACGAGACGAACCCGACGCCGTGCCCACGGAGCCCCGACGGCCTCCCCGCGAACGACCCCCTCTGCCCATGCTGCTGCCGCTGCCCAAGTTCGCCCTTCAAATGCTGCGAAATGCCCCGACGATACCTCGAGTCGTTCCCGCGCCGGCCCCGGCCTCTCCGCCGCGACCCCCGTCCGTCTCTTCCTCGAGCAGTGGCTCCGCTCCGCATTCCCCGTCACTCGAGGAACGAATACGATCTCTCGACGAGAAATACGAGCGATGGTCCGGCTCGCGCGCCCACGCCGACGCCCCTGACAGGAGTCGGCTGAGGCACAGGCTTCTAGAACTCGACATCAACGAAGTGAAACCGTCGGAGGTAGTCCGCTCACTTTTGGCCAAGAGATCGGTTTTCGACGAAGATTCAGAACGCCTGGAAGGAGCCGTCAGACCTCCCAGTCCTTGCGGCAGTCCCCGCTCAATTCTCCAACCGATGCTACCACGAGCGTTGCGCTATCCGTTCCCAAGTCATCCGCCACCTTCCGATAGCTCTGTAATATCTACGGATACTTCTGTGCCTTCAACCGACAGCGATCGGTCGGATCCCCGCTTGTTTCGTTTGTCACAATCGGACAGTGGCCCTAAACTCGAAAATGATAATTCATTTGAAGCTCGATTACGAATGCGCACTCCGTCAACAGATAAACCTTATTTAGATAATGGCAATAGAAGAGAATCTGAAACAGATAATGAACGAGCAGATAGACGAAGAAATTCTATCTTGCTTCAAAGTGACGATACTAAATCATTGGATTGTGATTTGAGCAATGAAAATTCGCCGCCTCTATCGCGTCGTCAAAACCATGATTTTAAACCTGTATGTAGCTTTTTTCAAGATCTTCAGGACAATCAACAAAAGGAAACAATGTTTTCTGAATCTACAGCAAATTCAATTGAAGTTCATATAAAAACAGAAAAATTGTATGACGTCAAAGATACCGCCGCAGACGTAAAGAAAGATCTCGAAGACTATCAGGATGAATTACCCTTTTGGGGTTCTAGACGACATAGTGTTAAGGATGTTTCACACCATGAGAAACTGGCAGAAAAGCTACCCAATAAATTAGAAAATTCTCTGAACGTGAAAGCAGAGAAAGTAGCGCTGGAAAATGTCAACAACGGAAGTCGTGAAAATACGGATCAAATTAAAATAGAAATAAAGCAAGAAACAGAAATATATCAAGAAATAAGTTTAGAAAATAAAATAAATGAAGACATGGCTAGAAGTGAATCAAGAACATTTAACCATTTAAAAACTTTAAATTGTATTGACTTAAAACAAACACAAATTGATCCATACCTTAATACTCAATCTTCTGAAAAAAGCGATAATAATGAAATAAACGACAGTCACCAAAACAATACACCAAAATGTGAGATTCTAAATAATACCTTGATACATGATAAAACGGATAAAGACCCAATAGAAGTCAACTCTGAAAGAGTAAAAGCAGATGATATAGAAGCACCATCATCTGATTGTAAGACCTTTGACTTATTGAAAGATTCAGAAAATCCTTTGAAATCTGATCGTGAGAAAATAAAACACATTAAAGACCGCACTGAGAAGGACAAATGTGAGCTTAGCAAAGAAAGACCACGTAGTAGTAAACATTCGAAAGTGGATAGACATGACAAAGAAAAGAAAGTAAGAGAAGATTCAACGACTAAACAGAACGCAGAAAAAAGCGATAAATTGAAATCCGAACGTGATAATGATAAAGGTTCTGATCATCATTCAGCCAGGGATCGTGATGTGGAAAAGTCGAAGCAAACTGAAGATACAAAAATGCGAACCGATAACCACAATCATAAGAAAGACAAAGGAGACAGAAGAAGAGAACTGGTTGAAATTGACCCTTTTTCATGTAAATCTAGAAAAGACGAGAGGCCAAAGCATGACCGTCAACGGAAGGATGGTACTGATAGCAAACGTGAAAAACAAAGAGAATCTGAAGTGAGCAAAAGTAGGAAATCTTCAAGAGACGAATCGTCAAAAGAAATCACTAGAAAAGATTCAACAGACTCTTCTGCATCTCGTACTTCACACGAATCAGCAAAAATAAAGGATTTAGAAACAATTGATACAAAAGAAGACGTAAAGCTAAAAATTAAACAAGAAAATGAAATGTTAACTAAACACGAGTCCAAAATAGCGATAGAGATTAATGACCAAATAGATAAAAAAATTAAATTAGAAGTGAAAGAAGAAAAACCTCCAAACGATATCACTCATAAAAATAAAATACCCGCCACTTCTGATTATATACAAAAATGCAAGACTGAAAATGAAAAGCCTCGGCATTTATCGTTTGATTCAACAAATGTAGAGAATAAACGCAAAGAGCGTCTCAGTTCATGTTCCAGTTTACCGTCCAATATTGGGGGGCACAAAAGAAGAATGTCTTCGCAAGACGTCCTTGAAAGTTTGGATGAGGAAATAAAAAAGAGTAAAAATGATATAAAAGGTTCCGATAAACGTGACTTTAAGGATTCGAAATCTAACGATAAGAATAAGACACCGAAGTTTAATAAATGTCATTTTGCTAAACTGTTTGAAAGTAAGACCAAGGATGACAAAAAGAATCAAGTAAAACCACCTGATGATTTGTTTACTCCTTTAAAAGATAGTGATGCCAAAGAGCTATCTGATAAAGTGAAAAGCAAATCAGAAGAAAAACATAAGAAAGATGAAAAGCCAATGGTATTTTCTGAAACACGAACAGACGTGCAAAATAATTTAGATTTTCTTGCTATATTTGAGTTGAGATCTAGTGAAGAAGATGAAAAACAGAGAGCATTAACTAATGAAATGAAAGAAAAGAAAAGAATTCAACAGTTACAACAAATTCAAGAGCTCCAAATGCAACAAGTTGTCCTACAAAATTCTGATCTTAGATTAAAGGAAGAAAAAAGGCATAAGCACGATGAAAAGAAAAAAGAATGCGCTCGTGAGAAACGAATGTCAACAGAACGGAAAAGTAAAGATATTGATCAAAAAAGAAAAAGCCGAAAGCAAACACAAAGTAGTGATACCTCGGATTCAGATGAACCTAAGAAACATTCTATTTTCGATATAGTAGATGATGGACCTACATATATTTCAATGTACGACAAGGTTAAGGCTCGATCGTGTAAAAATATGCAAAAACAAGAAGAAGAAAAACGTCAAGAGAAAATCAAAGCGAAGTTTAGTCAACTAAAACAAAGTAGAGCTAAACGAGAAGAAAAGAAAAGATCAAGTTGGGATGAAGATAGTGATTCTGACCTCGAGAGACAAAAACATATGAAATCATCAGTGGATAGCTCTTCTGATGACGAAAGAAATATGGTTCACAGTCAGAGTAAAAGACATGATAATTTGCAAAGATCGTCGCTTAATTATGAGCGACATAGCGTCGATGATTACTTTAGTCTAACAAGTAATGAAGAAGATCTACGGAATAAACTATCTCGCAAAAATTCTCGTACACGAATTATGTCTGATTCATCGGATGAAGAAACAATGAAGAGGGATATGAGTCCGAATCGAATGGGCGATTTAAAGAGAGGATATTTGTCTGACAATGGTTCATTACGCGAATGTAAAGATAAACATAATTTTATGAAGGAATCTACTATTGAAGACAAAGCTAAGAAAACCTCGCTTCTTAATTTATTTGGTAAAAGTGATAGTGATGATAATAGACTTAAATCTAATACTGAAAATGATAGTGACTATAAAACATCATTTAGTAAATTGATTTGTAATGATATTTCTTCTGAAAACGAATCTCTGCCTTCAAAGAGCACTTCTAGTGACATAAGAAAAAAGCATAGGAAAAAGCAAAAGAAGCATAAAATTTCATTTTCTGATGATGATAATAAAACGGAAAATTGCGATGAAAATCATGATCGAGATAAACATAAGAACGATTCTCTAAGAAGACACAATAAAAAAAGAAAAACGTAAAGACAAAATACGGGAAAGTTTTGACACTGACGATACTAAAGATGACAAATCGAAATGTAAAAGAGATAAAAGACCATCTACTGAGAATCTGCAGGAATCATTTACTGGGAATGCAAAAAGAGAAGGGAAAATGGAGGATATATTCGGTCCACTGTCGGAAGATTCAGATAATGAACCGAGGAATAAGTTAGAAATGTCAGTAGTGGATTTCGATTCTATAAAACTGAATAAAGATACCAGTGATGATTTAAAATGCAAAGACAGTAAAAGAAGAAAAGACAGAAAACGAAAAGATAAGAAACTGTTTTCTAAAGAGGATGATAATAGTTTGGATGTTGACGCAGTAAGCAAAGCAATAGAAGCTCGATTGTTTGCAGATTCTATGAGTAGTGATGACATTAAGACAAATGTGCCGCCAGACCTATTTAGAACCAAAACAAAGTATGACGACTCTAATGTCAAACTTGGTGATATTCCTCGGTCTGAAAAGGTGATTGAAAAGTTCAAGAAGGAATGTAAAGAGAAAAAGAAGAAGAAAAAGAGAAATAGAGAGGATCGACAAAGTCGCAAAGAACATCATTATTATGAAAATGAAAGGCCTTCTAAGCAAGATAGTAACATTTTTGAAAGACACATAGATATGTCGCCGAAAACAATCTTAAATATACCACTTCCGAATGAAAAAATAGATAACGACAAGTCTGATGACGCCAAATCTCTTTCAGAGTCTCCTAGCTTGCCCCGTTTAACTGACAGCCCACCTTTTGCTGTTAAATCAGAAGAATTAAGTTCTAAAAATACTGACACAGACAGTACTAGTCAGTTATCAATCGATGACAGAGTTTCTATTCAAAGTTATGACGAAACGAAGTGTGTGGAAATTGATGATATTCCAATGCCTCCACCCATTGAGAACAACGTCGTTCAAGACATCAGCGAAGTACCGCTTCCAGAAGATCCACCTACAGAACCCAAACCATCTGCTCCGAATAGTGATCTCGAGACCGATGATTCAATACAAATTTTAGATCACCAAAAAGCAACGGATATCAGTGATGACGCGGTTAGAAGTATACCAAGTGCCGAAAAAGTACCAGAGAAACAAATAGAAGCAACAACTACAGACATTCAAATTAAGAAGATAGAAGAAAAACCAAGGGCTATAATTTCTCAAGAAGAAACGGAAGATGCGGTTGCGGCTTTGCTAGGGGAAAGTTTTGGAGGAAAAGAAGATGCTTTTGCAAATTGTTTCGAGGAAGTAGTGGACAATGATAATAATCAAATTGAAATTGAGAATTCTTCTATTGAAAATGAGAATATTCCCGAGGAAGACGCTGAAGAAATGAGACAAGCCGTACAAAATTTAAATGCTTGTGAAATGGAGATAAAACCCGATACTCCAGTTTCTGACAGTGATTTTCTTCTTATAGACACAGATACTGAAGAAACTGAAGAGACTTCACAGGATGCTTCTGAAAAAATACCCGTCAATGTGGTACCTACATCGCAATCACAGTCTAGTAACATAAAGTTACCGCCTACAGCTGAACCCTCAAATGTTATCGTTTCAAAACCTAAAACAATGGTGGTTCAGACAAGTCCAAAAATACAAGTTTCATCGAGTTTACTGAGTGCAAAAATGTCTGAAAGCAACAGTTTTATAACATCATCTCCCGTAAAGCAAGAATCATTAACAGCAATAACTTCAGCACCAACCCCCGTTATTACTTCATGGACATTGACCAACAATAAAATCGAAACGCATACCGTCAATACGCCCATAAGCAAAGATGATGGAAAATCATCTCGAATAACAACAAACATTTTACAAATTAGGCCATCACAAATTAGTAACACTTTGATAACCAATCCAAGTAGACTTACCGCACCATATCAAGTGATAAATCGTATGAATATTAATCAAAGAAACCAACAACAACTATCAAATATGCAACCGCCAATGATTAAAATACCCGAGAACCATGTTTTGTATCAAAAACCACAAGGGATAGTGATATCTCCGCGGTTGGCTAATGATTCCAGACTACAAAGTCCAAAAGGTGCACAAAATGAGGGTCTGTCGTCTCCTCGACTAGCTAACATGACAATATTATCTACGTCACCGCAAAGCCTTAATTCTGTTGGAATAACATCGCAGAACGCTTTGCAGCAAAGGTCGCCAGGACACGTTACGGTTGTGCGTATGCAGCAACCGCCGCTGAGCCCACTTCACATCCCACACGGCGCGAGGGCTATGATATCTCCTAATAGACCAAACTCTGTCTTAGTACAGACACAAGGAGCCCCAATACATTTTAATAGATTGCCCGTGACACCAGTTTTAGCTCCTATATCAAAACAATTAGGACCTAATTTACCCCAGCAAAATAAGAATATATGCGTTCAGAACTCAACTGTATTACAACAAAAAGGATTGTCTGGGGAGCCAGTGAAAACCGAAAACCTAAACGAAAGTACTAAAATTATATTATCTCCCACTCATTTACCACCAAATTCAAACCCTTCTTTGATGACTAATAGAATGTTGCCAATGCAAAATACTCTACACGTTGGTACGATGAACCCTTTGCATTTATCCAAAAAAGTTTTGATTAACAATAAACCATCATTCGAAAAACGAGATATTCAACACCAAAAAACAGAGCATAGTGGGTTATCGTTTAATTCGTCTCCTATTATACACGCAGCTAGTATTAATGAGTCACCAACATCACACATACAAACTGTTTCTAAGCCAGTAATGTGTAATATTCAAGAAGGAGGTTCTAACAGAGGACAAGGTCAAAATGTTATTCATGCAATTAACCAACAACGTATAATTACAGCAACTACATTAAACAATATTATACAAATTGATAACAATAAAGGTCAACCAACAGTCTTATCGGTAGCAACAATTCGTCCACCAGCAGTATTCACTAAATCGGAAATATCAAATGCGGTAGCAGTGACAACGTCAAGTTTAACGAATGTTGTTATGACTCCACTTTTACTTAAAACAACATCTAATGCCAATATACCACCCAATCGATTGAATACTCGCAATGAGCATTTTGAAAATAATCCTCTCTTAACTGTCAGTCGTATTGGTAACAATCAGGATGAAAAAATTTATGATAAGAACGGTGATGATAAAAATACGATTTTAAAATCCATTCCACCACCACCTCTAAAGTCACCAGAATCAATTGCGAAATGTGAAACTGATTTTGAAGAACTTTTGAAAGATAATACGAATGAAATCAAGGTTACCAATGATCCAGAGAAAAAACTGGAAGTGAATGTAGGAAAGACTGTTACGGTTATAACTCAGGGCAATGAAAGAGCTGCTGATTTTATAGAGAAGTGCGAGAAAACTGATAAAACAGCCAATGAACATTCCCAAGAGCCTGAAGGAATTATAAAAACCAACAGCGTTGATATTGTTAAAGAAGAGAAAAAACTTGAAAGTGTAACAGATTCAAATCTTGCGGAGAAAGAAAGTAACGTTCTCCATTCAACCATAACGGACAAATTACCTGATATGGAGAAATCGCCATATATGAACCCGCATAATTCAGATATCAAAATTGAGCAACCTAAACTATTTAACTCTGATAACCCGTATAAAGAACTTTCAGCTTTTCGTGTATCGCCAAGTAATAAAGAAAACAATGAAAATGATATTCACACTCCAGAAGAGAATGAATTTTGGAGCACTAAAGATCAAATTATAGAATCTGTTATAAAGAAAGTCGATTCTCTTTGCAATGAAACTTTTGACGTTAATATAAAGGCTCATATTTATAATGCGGTAACAGACGTAACTCCCCAAGACCAAATTAATCAACATCATCAAGTTTCAAAAGACATTGAAATGAATTGTAATGAAAATAATAGTCATTTCGGCGACAGTACTGTTAAAGAGGAATTCCCAATGGAAAAAACAACACCAAGTAAAAGGGGTGGACGTGGTAACAGAGGTAGAAAAACTGATAAACAAGAAAGGGTACAAACACGCCAAATTTCAAAACCAGCTCGAGGTGGCGGCGTTAGTAAAAGAGGTAGAGGGCGCTCGACTAAAGTGGACAAGAAAGTTAAGAGCCTCGCGAATAGTACCTTCCATAATATGCCTGGAGATGTATATGATTTTCATGAAGATTCTGGCGACGAAACGGCGGCTTCAGCTAACAACTCTGAATCAAGGCCGAGATTAATTCTAACCATAAAAAGTCCGCTTTCAGGAAACGCGGGTGTCATACCAACTTCCACCCTAAGCATTACTCCAAAAGATACCATCAAAATACAAGAGAAACCCAAAGAAGAAAAAAGTGAAGTGTTTGCTTCGCCCTCTACTAATACTCGGAAATCGAGGAGACTTCAAGAAAAAGATATACAAAAAGGCTCTTCGGATGACGTTTTAGACGAAGTTGTGAAGGGAACTCCGGCAAATAAAATCAACGCTCGGGACACCAATAGAAAGAGGCCCCTGAGACAAGCTGGGGCCAAACAAGCTACGGACAAATCTCCTTCAGATACGAGGAAGTCACCGAGAGGTACGAAGAGATCGAGAGACAGTTTATCTGATGCTTCTGTCGATAGTTCTGACGAAAATAACAAAAAGGAAGAAACAACCAAAGACGCTAAAGTACCTAAACTTAATGAAACGGTCGTTCAAATGCCTGTGATGGAAACGGAGACTATCGTTAAGAACGTGCCGCCGCCGCCTGTAGTGATTGCACATCCTCAACCTGTAGTCAATCCAACTCCTATTATGAAACCACCAAAGAAAATGATATCAGAAATCAGTGCGAAATTAGCGAGTGCATTCGAAGCGGCTGCTGGTCCGCCACCGGTAGTGATATCTGCGCCGGTGATCGCCACTACTCCGGCGCCCACGACGGTACCCGTGGCTTCACCCGGCCTCGATCGTCTCATTCCACCAACTTTAGAAAGGCGACTGGTCGAATTAGAACCGCCCATTCTGACTCATAGAGAACCCAGGCCGGCCGAACACATTCCGATTCAAGAGCCCATGAGCGTTTCCCTCGGGGAACCCTCCGATATGACGAGCGTAGAGACCGGTCACATACGGCGCTTGGTGGATAATGTTCCTGCGAATATGATGCCTGTAGGAGCGACGGAGGCGACGGATGCCAGAGTACAGTCACCAGCTCTACCTCACAGACCGCCCTCCACACATCGGCCTGCCGATCGCGCGACGCCTATTCTTATCAGGTGTGTTTCCTACTATGCATGTTCCTCCACAAAATTCTGTCAGCTGTGTTCCAACAAAGGGAACAAATCAAGGTTCAAGTTTCATCAAAATCGGTTCAGTAGCTTTGAGATACAGAAATCTAAGCACTTCTAGATGGAACTTGGATAATATAGGTGCCTAGGTAAATGATAAATTGTATCATTAAGATTGGAAACCAACTTGAAAACTACAAATTCTTTTCATACCTTTTTTTAATACCACATGGTATTTAAACAGGTTCAATTATGTAATAAAGTTATATCCCTAGAAGCGGCGGCGAGGGTATGGAAGGTGCGGGCGTAGCGGGGGCGGCCGCTGCTGGTGCGGTGGCGGCAGCTCGTGGCTTCCGAGGCGCCTACGCTGGCCCGGCTAGTCTACCCAGAGGCGCGCATCACCCACCTCCACCCACTACCAAGCAAGTCGCTATCGTTGGACCTCATCATCATCCTGGTAAGTTCTGAGTGCTTACTTAAATACTTTACTTAGCTTTAAGTTGATTCCGCCAGCAATACTGATTTTAGCTACGCCTATAAAGATTTGGAGGGACAGCTTCATCCATTAGGGAGCGTTCAAGTATTACGTCACGCAATTTTTGGAGATTATTAAACTTCCCCACCCCATGTATCGCGCCGTAACGTTTTTCTGTGCCCAAGTATAGTAAAATATTTCGTGACCACTTAGTTACTCTTTATACCTAAAAGTCACCATTATGTGGTGTAAAGTACTGGAAGGTCGAAAATGATATTAACAATAACGCGTTTTCCAAAAAGACCCCCCAAAATTACGTAATACTTGAACGCTCCCTTATACAACATAATATTTGTTTCATTCTTTACTTTTATAGTTATAAATTAATAATTAGCCTGAAAAGACATGCGTTAATCGACGTCTTTTAGAGGCGAAAAACCCATATCTGGTATTTAATTCCTATATCGCGATGAATTATGAAAATAGATGCAAAAACTATAAAGGTACCCTCCTCGTCTCACATTACAAATTGATTGTATGCTGTAAAATAAGGATAAACGGTACTCATTGTGTTGAATGAATAACTATAAAAAAATAATAATAATATATGAGTGGTAAGAATTAAGGTATACGATATTTGTATTTTTAAATCACATTTTATGTGTACTATGTATTTTATTTATATATATTCTTATCCCCTAAAATGTATTTTCAGGTTCACGAGTAACAATCACCAGTGTGCCAGCAATCAGCCCTCAAGGCCAAGTAAACGTGGTAAGTTATTAACAAAACTCAACCGTTTTAAACTTATTTACTTGGTATATTGTTATTTAAAATATTCCTACATTTCATGCTCACTTGGATAGTCTGCGGATTTTGTTCGAAGTCCTCCACCAGCTCATCAACAGACATCTCCTATAACATCGGTATACTTTATTTAATTAGCAATTTAAATTCTGTATAAAATGAACGCAAAAATTACTTATCAGTTGTCAAATTTCAGCCTTAAATTGTCATCTAAAGGGTTTTAGAAGTTATCGATTTGTGCGTCCCGGTTTCTTTGGGATCCAGCCCTTTTATTTCTTTTTAATTTTGAGGAAAAAAATAGTTTCTGAGTTTGTTACAAACATACAATGGATTTTCTTTAAAATATTATTCGATCTATTCAATATTATGTTACGGAATTAACCCAAACAAAAAATTGCATAACTCAAATTGATTTGATATTAATTAAAATAAATACTGATTAGAGTCCGCGCCACCACTGATTGCCGATAGACGCGGCGCTAGCGAGAAGCGCGGCGTAGTAATATGTTGCTAGTGCTAGGTGCAAGGCTAATTTACCCCAACGTAACATAAATTAATTTGAAATTCGCGAACTAGTCTCCGAAATTTGCTTATAATGTTTTACCTTAAAACGAATAAAATAATATTTCACTGTAACGACAAATTTAGTTCCAGGGTTCGGCAATGAGAAGTGCGCGGAAATAGTGGCGCGGACTATAGACAAGAAATTGGGCGTATGTGATATTAAATTGAGGAATTTTATTTTCAGGGCGACGGAATGTATCCCCATTTCTCCCAACATCACTATCAAATGTATCAGCAACATTTCCGCGCGACCCAACAAGATATGCGGGCTAGCGCATCGCCGTTCCCAAGGTACATATTACATTACATTTCATATATCCAATAGTTATAAAAAGTTGAAAATGATACAATAACATAGTTTCTATTTTTTTTACTTAAAGTTCTTTGGGAGCGTTTAAGTGTTAGGTCACGCCCGGGTTATTATTGACCCCCCATATAAAGCGCCGTAACGTTTTTCAGTACCCAATAGTAAAACGTTTCGTGACCACCCAGTGACTCTTTATACCTAAAAGTATCCCCGCCCCGCATCGTAACGTTTTAGAAAACGAACCCCCCCCCCTCCAAAAATCGTTACGTAATACTTGAACGCTCCCTTTTGACTTTTCAGTCTAAACAAAAAATATGAAATTATCATTAAAAGAAAATATTTGCCCACTTTTGGCAAGATTTTTTATTAATGCTCCGCTCTGATCGCAGTATAAAGATAAGCTATGTTACATTTTATAAAGTAACTATTAATGCTGTTTCTCTGATAATATTAGTATAGGTTATTTTTATTTTGGCGTAAACATTCCTATGTGTATATACTTAAATATTATAACGACAAATTCATTTATTTTATGGAACCTTGTTTTTGTTGTGGTCACATATTGGCCTCAATTCAACACAGGTTAAGGTAACTAATACAACTTCTTTACCAATGTTTAGATGCGGAGGTGGCCTGGAAGCAGAAGGCAGCGAAGCCCCAACTCCACCTTTGGAGCTTCGGCGGCCTCCTTCGGCTAGAGTTCCGAGACCGGCTCACTCGCCGTCACCTGCTGACCGTCATATTTGTATGTATTTTTGGGTTATTTAACTAAAAATTATAATGCATTTTAAATTTGTCATTAAAATTTAAGCTATTAATAGCTATATTCAATAGAAATATATAAACAACACACATGGTGCTGTTGCTATGAATTCTAGTCCGAAAAATAATGTAACTAGGCTCTTTGATGTAATGGAGTTAATTTGTTTTTTGCTGCGTAAACAATAATACTTAAATTATACTTTTTTCGGAGTTAGTGGACCCAACTTCAATTAATTTGAATAGAATCTAAATTTAATACGTTTAATACAATTTAAATAACGCAAGGTGTAGATTGAAGAAGAATAGTAGTTGCGTGTTACAATAAGTCTTATGTGTGCAGTATACGCAGTCCGCTGCGGGCGCTCCCCTCCGCCGGCGCACGGCAGCGGTCGACCCCCGAGTGCCCTACCACCTCTCGCTGCCCCCGGCCCGCCCCATGCCAGCCAGGTGCCCAGGGAGGCCGACTCCCTGCAGATGCTACTGAGGGTGAGTACTTTATGGTTTCATTAATCATTATCAAGTCAAAAGCGGGAATCACTCGCGGGATTAGCTGAATTAATATTTAATTTATGAAATTAAAAATAAAATATATTTTTTATAAAGCTAGTGAATTTTACTATTTTGAAAGATTGGAATAAATTACCTATACTCTGATTTTTAATTCCGTAGAATTCTGACAGCTATCATTTTTTGACGAGTCAGAGATGACAAACCTTTTGGCCAGGCACATTTTTCAATTTTAATACGATTCGAACATCTGAGTCTTTTCATACATTTAATTTGTTAGTGAATGTATCCATTTCATTATGTGCGGTGGTCCACATTAAAAGTGGTTTTACGGCGAGTAATAATTATTATGTTCCTTTTCATCACTAATGTTCAAAAACTCAAAAGTAAAGATAATATTTTATTTTTAAAGGTTTACTAAACCTGGAATTAGTAGGCAATGATGCCAGCTAAAGTAATTAAATTTAATTCGGTATATTATTGTTCGTGATATTGAAATATTTGTAATTTTTGTATTAGGTCACTTGCCTAAGTAAATATTTAGATTTACCTTTTTCTGGATAGAACATAAAAAATACGTCGCATTTTATTTTTTATTGCCTTCACATGGGTCAAATTTGTCTCTTTTTCGGTGTAGAACTTTTTAGTAGCAACACTTATGAAATGTCAGAATTCTACGGAATGAAAAATCAGGGTATAAGTTCCTTAATAAATAATGTATGTCAAACGAAACGTCAAGCTTCAACAACACCTTTCACTGTCATCTGATATCATAGTCAAAAGATATGTGGGCGGCAAAATCAAATTAAAATTGAATCTTAAATAATGATTTATTTCCAGCGCTACCCCGTGATGTGGCAAGGCCTCCTCGCCCTGAAGAACGACTCGGCCGCCGTCCAGATGCACTTCGTGGGTGGAAGTGCGGGCGTGGCCGCGGATGCATTATCTCGCAGCGCAGACGGCGCGGCAACGTCGCTTCTGCGTATCGCGCAGAGGATGCGCCTCGAGCCTGCCCAGTTGGATCAAGTGCATCGGAAGATGAAGGTAATAAAGATTACATTTAATTGCTTATTTAGTACAATATGTTATTTTTTTTTAAATTTGTGATGTATTTTGGCTGGCAATCCGTCTATTAATTTGGTCTTTGCAGATGGAGAACGAGCACTGCATGCTGCTGGCTCTGCCGTGTGGTCGCGATCACATGGACGTGCTCCAGCAGTCGACCAACTTGTCTGCGGGCTTCATCACCTACCTGCAGAGGAAACAAGCCGCTGGCATTGTCAACGTTGCACCCTCGCCGCGGCACCAACAGGTAATATATATTTTAGTACAAAAAAATCCATATTACGTACATATATCGTTAGTACAGTACTCACAGCGTTCCTAATAACATACAATAAATTTTATGTTTTAACTACTAACTAGTCGTTTTAATTGAAAAATATTTTATCAATATAATTTTTTTTTTATGGTTGTCCAGATACATAAAGAAAAGAAATAAAGTCAAGTTATATAATATCATGTATCCAAAATTAATGCCGCTAAAACTGTGGTAACCAGATAGTTGATAATAATATTACTGATATCGGAGTGCGTGCCAAAGGAAATTGAGTGTCTATTTTACTAATCACATCTCTGAATAATCTTAGAATACATTATGTAATGAATTATATGATTTTGTAACATTTCTTCCATCATCTTTCGTTCCAAACGACTGTAATCTAATAGTATTTATTGTTTTTTCCAGTCCATGTATACCGTACACATATTCCCTTCGTGCGAATTCGCCAACGAGAACCTGAACCGAATCGCACCGGACCTAATGCACCGCGTGGCCAACATAGCGCATCTGCTCATCGTCATCGCTACGGCCATCGGATGAACACGACTCTCGGATCAGACGAATTCTACTGAGGACTGACCCCGGCTCGTAGCCGCCCGAACACCGCGCGGGCCCATCGGCCCTGCCGAGAACGGAGTTTTGGAGACATCAAAGTGACTATGAGTGATCGTCATCGCCATCGCCATAACAGTGACAGAGGCCCCTCGAACAACCGACGCGACCTAGTGACAGTTTAATTCATTATCTTGTAAATAATATCCAGGTTGTGAACTCATTTTAAAGTTTAGTTATCGGTCGAGTGTTGAGCCATAGACTAGAGGATCCGCAAGTGAAGTGTAAAGTCTCACCTAGAATTAAGCGTATTTAAGTGTAAGATAAGACGTCATTTTGTAATATTTTGTTGTGGTCGACTGCGCTCGGCCTTATTCGGAGTTTATTATTAAAACTAATATTAAGCAAAGTCAAGTTCGTAAATATTTGGGTTCCGCTGAAGATGAGTGGCGATCGAGCATTTTTATTGTTAGTGTAAATTGTTATTTTGTTTTAAGCGTAGGCGTAAACTAATTTAAACATGTAAATACCGATCTATCCGTACTAAATCTCGATTCACTAAGGTCATAGCAGTACCCGAATGGAATTCATTGATAACAAAATCGACTCGAGTGAAGTTTGAAATGGCTACTTTAAAGTAATTTAAAAATATAAAACACGTGGAAAATAAACTGTGATTCTGACTTTTAACGTAGGGTTAGTTAGGTATAGAGCCGAGCAGTAGAGTAACGACAGCGGCGCATGCGTTGTAGTTTAACGGTAATATAGACTTGTAGTGATATTTTCTTTACACATTCGCACCGGGTTTTCATATTCTTTTATAGTTTATTATTTATTTTAATGTTCGTCTTCATTAGTTTTGCCTATCGCATGAATGTTAACCTTCTCAGGATAACATTCATACGATTAAAACGAAATATCCGATCCAAATATTGAAAGTGTGCCGATAACGATAGTGTATAGGGACGATTTAAATTCTAGACACCTATTAACCGAGGAGTAATATTGACAAATGTCAAAAATGTTTACTCCTTCGTTACTACTGTCTATTATTTCGAAGTCATTGAAGGATGTAACACGCCGTTATCCTTCGGATTAATTCATTCCACGTTAACCGCCTCGCGCCAACGTACAGTACGCAAGTGAGACAACATATCGGGCGGGTGTACGCGTACACCGAGATGTACGTATACGTAAATTTACGAGCACGCGCCCTTTGTCTTGTCGTGAGAAATTGATTAGGTTTTGCTACCGTGACGCTCGCGATGTTTCACCTCATTTACCGCTGTTGCTTATGCGGGATCGTATGAGAGAGCTTTTAGGATTACGTTTTATATTTTATTTTTTTCTGAATATTTTTTTTTAGATAAGGTTATATCATTTTCTATTAATAGTTAGCCATAATTTTTGTTAGTTTTTTTACCGCCTTTACACATACTTTTTTATTTAATTTAAACCTAAAAGTAGTATAAATATCGGTTTTCTTTTTGTGTCTGCTCATATCCGACACTTTGCATATAAGAATTCATGTATACCACTGAAACAATAGATTTCTTTACATTGCTCTCGATGTTCCATAGTCTTCCCGAACGTGGTCCCTTAAAGGCTCTCTTACTGAACGTTGGAAATCCCAGTTCCAAATAAAACAATATTGTACTTCTCGTAACGCATCGTCAGCATATTCCCTAGGGGCCCCGAGCGACGAGTGCCTCGGTTTGTCGGCTTCGGTCGGAATATCGCATAGTTAGAAAAATTGCGACCCCGTCACGTCGCGTGTAAAACTAAAGTACAAAATATTTTATGTAATTTTATAATATATAAACGATATACAGCGCAGCCACGTATGTATATTCATCGATTAGTATATGTAAATGTGTATGGTGTATGGTTTGTTCTCCGTCGCAAACGGTTCTCGATTAGCTAAGAACACTAACGAACTCGTCACTTCGTCCATTAATTTTAAAAATATAATTTAATCTATAAACGGATGCCCGAATACACTTATTATTTGTCTCCTTATGAAGGAACTCGATGTAAATAAAACTTGAAATATAGCAATACAATATTTAGACTCGATAGTAAGGAACTTATAAATTAAGCGACACGAGAATTATAAAAAGAAATATTTATTCAAATTAAAATCGGTATTTACTATTATTTTAGTTGTTTACTGTGATGTAATTATTTTTGGCGACACTTACAGCTATACTATAATGATGTTTATCGTAATGTAAAATATCTCCTTGCCCGATGAATAATTGCATCCGAAATTATTTGCTATGCAAAATTATTGTCAATTACTAAAATGTAATGTTCTTCAGAAGATTTTCCATATTTGAAAACCACCATTGTTCGTAGCGGTTATAATTTTCGACGATGTTAACTAGTAATTTAACGCAGACTTAATAGTTTTAAGAGTAGTTACGTGAGAAGTATAATATAGTTTTGTTTTATTTGGATTAGGTTAGAGGGGGGCGGGACGAAGGCGCGACGCGAGAGTGCGAGTGAGGGTTAGTGTAAATGTAACACATTTGATCTCAAGTGAAAGCAAGTGAACGCGAGGACTTACAGCCGCGCCCTTCGTTCCACCCACTTAGCTCTTAATGTCGAAATGTAAGGAAATAAAAATATTGTGATCATATTTCTACTGTAACTTTAAAATGCTAGAGTTTAGAAGTAACTGTATATTTTGTACATATTGAAATAGTATTGTATCTTTACTTCCCATTATCCAAAAACCCAGAACTCCTGCGTGTTATTTACCTCCTACCTACCAATACTATTAAAAAAATAATACATAATAGCGTGTTTTTATTTCATTTCCTTAGGTTTAGGCTTAAAATTGTAAAAGTAAAACATCCGAGTCTTATATTAATAAAGTTTATTAAACATAAACATTTTAACAATCATGCTAGAACGGACATACGTAGATTAATTCTATGATAGAAACTACACGATGACTATAACTTGCTCAACGCTTCTAAAAGATTTTCTTTAAAACTACAAACAATAACATGATTTAATTTTAAATATTTTTTTCAAATTTACCCGAGAGCATCGTATTAAACGAAATATGCTTCTTGTACATTTTTCCAAACTAAAAAATAAGCCTGATATTGACGGAGAGGAAACCGTTATTGACTGTCTAACGAGTGGTCCTGATGGCAGTACAATATTTAACAATTACCAATATAATTATAGTCGGACTAGTGACTACATCCGGTTTGAATAGAATAATTACTATTACTAGCTTTTATAGTGAAATAAATTAGAAAAATATCTTCATTCCCAATATCTCTCAAATCTATCCTATACTAAGAATGATATTTTTTAATTTGATTTCTCACTTCGCGGCAGATATTACTTAAAAAAATAAGCTATCTTGAACATGCTACATTTGCTAGGTACACATTAACATCCTTGTTTCATCATTAGTCCTGCAAGTTTGAAAATTCGTAAGCAACTAAAAGGATCGGTCCGAGGCGGCTCTGAGGATGTATTTGCTGGTTGCGTGTTGATGGAAGCATGTGATGGAGACTTGCTCTCTGACTTTTGCTTTTCGGGTGATTTACTTATCGCCGGTGAAGTCATTCTGAAACAATAACAAAGGTATATTTAAACGTCACACTTATGTTATAACTGAAGAGAGAAAAAAATCTTATATAACGGAATTACTTTACATGGAAACTTCTAAGAACGTCCGCGACCTCATGTTATATACATCTTTTAGAGTAATCAAATTTGTTCTAAAATACATTATTTGCGAAGTTGTTTTTGTTTATATGATATTAATACTTCAAATCAAATCGCAACAGAATGATAATTGGTACGTACGCCACTGACACATGAAATCAAAGATTTATAAATTCTTCTATTAACAGCCCGTGTAATGTTTAGTGACCATTTGTTTCTTTACTCAAAACAGGACATCATTTAGGTACTACAGCTAGATTATGACGATTTATTTATTTCATTTATTTGCTCAACGGTATTCCTACAGCTATTTATTAAACAATATTCAAACAATTACACTGTACACAAAGGCCAAAAACGGAATACACATTTAGACATACACAAAGCACAGTTTCACCTATACAAATACAAAAAATATACAAAGAATATACGTATTTATAATAAATTCTTAGTTCTTAGATCCAAGATTCATTGTTCATTATAATATATATTTAATACAAAGGAAGAATTATTAAATTATTTAAGATTTTTTAAATTATTTTTTAAACATTTTTTACTTACATTAAATATATCTGATGACAGTTAATGCGAAATAATTCTTAAAAAAATACTCTTTATAGAGTAGCATTTATATCAGTTGTAAAAAAAGATTCGCAACATATTTTAAATTATTGAGCGTTCCTAAACAAATTGTTTTCCTTGTCCTTGCGATTTTTTATAGGAATAGAGGCAATCGAGCAGGCGGGTCACTTTGAATAAAGTGATAACCGCCGACGCCGGACACCTGCCCTGCGATTCTGTAACTCACTTATACTCTAATAAACAATAAACTACAAGCTCCCACCTTTTTAGAATACCAAATCATAAAATGACTGCTTAACGACTGATTTGAGAGCGACCGCCGATGCGAAAACCGCTGTGTGAGTTTGAAAACTGAGTAGCAAGGCTTCAACGCTGGATGTGTTGCCGACCTTTCAGGGACGCTTTTTTCTTGAAGGCCCGTTAGTCGTATCGGTTTGTAAATACCTCTACTGGTTGGTTCCACAAATAGGTGGTGCGCGGCAAAATGTGGCTTTAGAGGATGGAATTTAAGTTAGTTGTACTGCTGTTTGTAGACATAGGTTATCAATTACTACGTTTATTTATGATATCGTAATTGAAATATTTTGAGAACACAGCATCAATTTACCGGTTTGATGTAACGATCCATCAAATCGTTGAATATGTCCATTATGTTTGGATCATAGCCAATAGACTATCAATGTTACGATACACGTTGGCCGTGGCCGACTTTG